CGTTATCTTTCTTTGCAAAGACCCAACGACATGTAATTGGCTTTCTTCCTTTCGGCAACTCGACCAATTCATAAGTGGAATTCTCCTTGTGAGCCGCAATTTCTTCGTCACAAGCGCGCTTCCATTCTGCACTTTCGTTGCTCTTCATGGCTTCCTTATAATTTCCAGGAACATCACTTCCACCAGCCAAAGCAGCAGCTTCACCAGCCATAAAACAAGAGGCAACATAATTCACAGGTTTGTACTCTAACAACTTGCCTTCGGCATCATCATTCAGTTCTGATTCCTCATCACAATCACTTGGCTGTTCAACATGTGGCTCAATTTCCGAAACCACCAAGTTGTCATTGCTACTACCATTAGGAACAAAAGAAGTAAGCTCTTTTGAGCTACTGTCGTTTCTGTATTTCTTCCTTTGTGGTTTCTCAATAGCAATTTCCCTCTCTGAATCTGAACTGAATGTATCAGATTCTTGTTCAACTTCTGCCAAGATCCCAAATGGATTTCTTTTAATCAAACCTGTACTTTTCTTGGGTCTAGAACCCGATGATCTTTTCCTTTTTGTAGCAGTAACCAACTTGAACTCTTCTGAAACCATCCTTGATGGGATTAACTCTCCAGTGGCATCCTCATCATCGTCTATGATTCTCATTTCCACGTCTTTGCTTGAGGAAACAGTGGACTCTCTTTCTGAATCATCCAAATCGGAAACCATTCGTTCATCATCAACAGAGATCTCACTTGCAACATCCTCTAAGTCTGGATCACTTATAACAGGGCCTGGTGCAACGCCACCAGCAAAACCCATACCACCAGAGCTGCTTACCTTAGCAATCTCGGTATCCACATCAGTGACTCGCTTCACATCCTGATAGTAATATCTTGACTCATCAAATCTGACCTGAGTCGCCACAATAATCTTGTTGGCAGCAGGATCAAAAATTCTGTACGCACAGTGATCTCTATCATACCCGAGCATCACTCCAACCTTGGCGGTAGCATCAAATTTTCCATTTCTCAAACTGTTTGGTATAACCACATATGCAAGGGAACCAAAGCAGCGAAGATGGTCAAGGCCCGGCTTGTATCCATACCAACGACCATATGGTGTGTGGAAATTAATAACGCGGGATGGCGTCCTGTTAATCAAATAAACAGCCGTGCGGACACCTTCAGACCAAAACTGAACCGGCATAGAAGCCCCAATAATTAAAGACCTAGTTTTGTCTTGAATTGTCCGATGCATTCTTTCAGCAACACCATTTTGATAACTATGGTGTGGCACAGTCAACTCATGGGCAATACCTTTGCTTCTCATGAAATCATGCAACTTTCCTGTAACAAATTCACCACCATTATCAGTGCGGATAGTTCCCACGGTAAACTGTTTTCCCTGAGACTTGAACATTGTTTCGGTGTATGTAATAAACTCAATAATCCTGTCAGCACACTCTGACTTGTTTTTCAAACACTTAACCTCCACAAACTTGGAATACCCGTCGACAATAGTGAGAAAATATTTGCTCGAATCAATAGACCCATAATTGATTGGGCCACACACGTCCATATGCAACAATTGTAAAGGCTGTTGTGGTTTAGCACCCTTCCCGCTCTTTGGTCTTCTGGTAACCCCTTTACTTGTCAAGCAGCTTTCACATAACTGCACAGAATCTTCACTGTAAAGTTTACCTTTCACCAAATGAAACATCAGATTGAACTTGTTCATAATATTCATACTGGGATGGCCTAATCTCTGGTGCCACAACCCGCTCTTATCAACACTGTTAAATGCCACACCATCGACACTGGTGTGCAAAGCATAAAGATCACTCATAACTGGATCTTTAACAGCAACCACTTTCTTTTCAGGGTACATTTTCACCTTGTTTCCTTCAAATAATAATCTTGCACCATTCAGAGTAGCCTTGGAAACAGAAATCAAATTGGCCTTTGACCCTGGAACATAATAAGCATCCTTGATTTCGATACTGGTGTTATCACGTAACTTAAACACCGCAGACCCGATACCTTGAACCTCGAGAGAACTACCATCAATACCTGAGATCTCACCAGAAAAAGGACCAATGGTTTTAAACATCTTTCTGTCATTCAAAATATGTTGCGAGGCACCAGAGTCAAAGTACACTCTGGAGGCCCTACCATGCATTCCCATAAATGCATACCAAGATGGTGATGGATTCTTCAGATCACCACCCATTCTCTCCTTTCTAGGAGCCTTGCAATCCTTCTTGAAATGACCGGGTTTTCCACAATTGAAGCACTTGTACTGTTTCTTAAAAGCAAACACAGGTTCCAAACCCTCAACACTGGTGGAACCAACCGATTTATCTCCAATGATTTCTCTTGTCAAATCTTGGACAAGCCCAATATCAACATTTCCAATAGTCCTGCCATTTCTAGACTCATACGCAGTCATGACTTCCCTGGAAAGATTTGCATTAAACCCGGCTTTCTGACCCAAGCTCAAAAACAACGCACACAACACAGTGTTTCCGTCTAATTTGCCAACAGTATTCTTGAAGTGATTGAAGGCATCAATGAAATTCTCAACGTTTCCGTTGCTAGATTTCAACCACTTAGCGTCAATTAAATCTGAGATAATACCAACAGCATTTGTAACAGTCAATGTACCATAAGCATCCTTGAGAAACATAAACAAGTTTCTACCAGTACCATCAAATTCGGAAGCCTTAGTCAAAGCAGCGCCTGAGATGCTGTTGAAAATGGCTGTTGAAATAATCTCATCCATAGTAGCAATCAATTGGGCAACTTCATTAGCAGTTTCCAGCCCGTCGGTTCCGGTTTCCCCATTGATCAAGTAAGCATGTAAACCAAGACCTTTCATCTTCATCTTAACACTGATCAAAGTAAACCAATCATAAAAGTTCCCGGAACCCTTCAACTTCTCATCAGCAGCGAACGAAGTGAGAGCATTTGAACTCATAACCTGTTGTATTTTTGTAACTCTAGTTACAAAAGACATTGATAACAATAATATTCAATAATATTTATTCCCTTGTTATACTTGTTTTACTTGTTAACTATCTAAATTATATAAAGGACAAACTCAGACTATGGGGGGCATGGCCCATATTTATATTAATCTCAATGGGTTCTAGAAGGTTCCATAAGCTCTAGAATGTTCCATAAGTTCTAGAAGGTTCCATGAACTGACTAACCACATAACTTTGGATTGTCAACTCAACATGGAACCTAGTTCTTATGTGGTCATAATAATTTGGTTCATCAGTATTGTCTGTTATTTTCTTGTGTACCATCGTCAAAAAATTCAGCTTCAAGCGAATCTCGGAAATGAGGGCTGAAGTAGAGTTCACAGTGGGTGGAAACTTGATCTTCAGAAGCCATTGAATAATATGATTTTTAATGATATTGTGTTGGGGGATGTAAGTCATTGCATGAGGTTGAGTGTTGATTTCAAGAATAATAGAATCGTGAGTTGAAGAAGACTTTAGATAGTTTTGTTGGGACATTTGAATATGAAATCTGTTTTTGTCGGAGATCATGGACTGACTGATATAAAAACGATCTATTCTGCGACTACTTTCTTCCATGGTGGATTGGTTAGTCCAATTCTTTTTAATCTGGTGCAATTTTGGATGTTCACAGATATCTGCTAGCTTGAAAGTTTTGATTAGCTTTTTAAGCGACTCGGACGATCTTTGTCCGCGAGAACGGAAGTTAGCAGAGTCTCTTGAATTGACAAAATTATTAAAGTCACCTCCGAGAATAAGGTTGATGGTCTTATTGTTGCTTCTCGCTCTGAGAGTGGTAAGCTGGGTTTGGAGGGTGATGGAGAGCTGATTTTGAAGGAGGATTTGTTTTTGGTAATCAGCAGATGGGTTGTAGATATTGATTAGCCAAAGCCAGTTATTGGCATCTTGTTCAATAATGGCATCTGTGATATAAACCTGGAGCTGGCTCAGTACTGCAATTGTTAGCAATGAATGATCAACGACCTTTATGTGGTCCTCAATTATAATAGCTGTGCGGGATGATGGAGTATTTTTATAAATTTTTTTGTTTTGGTGTTGGAAGAGGAAGTCCTCGCCAAGATTAAGTTCTTGAAACATTGAAATGTTATATTGGTTTGATAGATGGAGAATTTTGGAGTCATCCAATCTCAATCTTTGGATGTTTTGACTAATGATCGATAGTTTACTCATTTTGTGTATGAGAGGCGTTTTTTGTGACATTTGAGCCATCTGATTGAGGTGAATTTATTTCGTTGTTGTTATCATCCAGGGGGGAAGATTGTTCTTTTGACAGAAGCTTCATTGGCCGGGGAGTAAATGATTCCAGTGGCGTGGGCATTTTGTCTGAGTTTTCCAGGATAGATGGATGTTTTTGTTGAAATGTAGCTCTAAGTACAGTGCAAGCTCCAATAGTTTGATTTTGTCTATCACTTAACTTAAGGGTACTTTATGTGATTTTGTTCACTATGGTGGAGCAATGTTTTTCCGACAAGAAAAACGCCGGACACCTATGTACGATAATTACTGCTTCTGGTGAAAGTGCGCTCTGGTTACACTTTTCCGAGATCCTACAATCAAGGGGTCTGTAGGTCATATACTAGGAACCAGATCATTAGATCTCTACTAATAAATATTATAGTCGTTGCTATCAAGATTATATTTACAACCATTATTAGTTTAAGGTTGCTAGGTGTCGTGCTGTTTGTCCTTACTACTGTCCTTATATTTAACTTTATTATCTAAAGTGTTTGTCATTATACGTGAGTGCGTTTGTTTCGTCTTTATATATTAAAGTACTTTGTAGACCTGTAGAATACTAACAGATTTACAGTCCGAGTGCTTTGATATTCCAACTTACTAACTGCTTACTGTCCTTTATATCTAAAGATAAAGGAGAACAAATAGAGAAATAAATTTGCCTTATTTTGCCTTTGAAATCTATACCGAGTATTTTGGAATATTATAGGTCTTCATAAGTACAATAAAATGTCGGGTGTTACGTTTAGCTTTGGAAGTGCTGCTTGGGATGTTACCGAGTCTAGCATTAAGCTTTTTAACGAGTCCCTTAAGGGAGCGAAAGAAACGAAGGTGCAAGGGGGTTTGGAGTTTCCATTAGTACTTGAGTACATGAAAACTGCGTTTGCGACCTTGAGTTTGGAGAATCCAACTTTTATCGCTGACCAATTCTTTGAGGCCGATAGCTCTAATCAAGCCCCATACTTTTTGGGAGTCTTGATTCAAGCTGCCTTAAGGGTGAAGTTAGATGAAAAGCTCTTCAAACGGGTTATGCACAAGCAACCCAACGGGGTGCTTGCGTGGTATGCTTTCGCCAAGAAGTACAAGCTGATTGATTATGAGTCTCAAGTCCAGGTCTTGCATAACTTTGGTTATGCCCTTACCAAAGGTAATAGCGAATTAATGGAGAGAGCTACTACCGCGTTTGCGTATTACTTTGACGTCCCGAAGAAGTTGATTCCGCTTGCCGCATGTGCCATCATGGATGATGGTACTAGGCAAAAGTTCTTCGATAAAACTGGATACAATGATCCAGAAGCCGGTTTTGAAAACTTATCTTTTGACGAAGTGGCCGGATTTTTCGAAGAAATGAGTCAAAAGTATAGTCGCATTGAAGAAGAGAACCTGATGGAACTCGCCCAAAATGTGGTGCACCAACGTGGGTCCAGTGGGAGAAAGAACTGGACTTGCTGGAACTGTGGTAAGAAGGGACATATCGCTAGGGATTGTCCTAACCACAAGCCAGGGCTCTCTAAGTTTTACGAGAGAAAACCGGATGCTAGAGCGTTCTATCTGCAAACGGTGTTTGATGCTGAAGAGAACCACTCTTCAGAGGAGGCTTGGTTGGTTGAAACCAAGCCTGGTCCTGGAACTGGTATATCCAGTGTTAAACCTAACTATGGTCGCAAGAAAGCGTTTTCTACTGTAGGTGCGTGTAAAACAGATGCCGCAGTGAGATTTACGTTGGATAGTGGGTCCACCTGTCATCTTGCAAATATGAAGATAAAGTTGGCCAATGTCCGTCGCGATGATACCAAGGTGTTAGGTGTCAACGGTTTAAGTACCGTGAAACAACAAGGTGATTTGTTGTCTCAAAAATTGTCCGTTAACGGTATCAAGTTAATGGATGGCTTGCCACGGAATCTACTTTCAATCCCGAAGATTGTGGATAGTGGATTCGACGTGTTGCTTAGCAAGCATAATGGTTCTATTGCCAACCGTAAAAATGGTAATGTTGTTTTGAACTTTCCAAGAGTTGGACCGTTCTGGGAATTGAGCGTTAAAGCTGATTCCGCCGAAGAGATGGCCTTTAATGTCGAAAGTTACGAGGGCTTAAAGGCTATCAAAGAAGTGCATGAAAGTAATAATCATGCGAAGTTGAGAACCATGAAAGAGTTATTGAAAGGCCATGGTGTTTTAGAAGCTGATATTAAGTATGTTTTGACCAGTTGTGAAACGTGTATGTCCAAAGTCACCAAGCCGGGCGGTAAACCAGCTGTGCGAAAGTACAACGTTGGTGAGATGATTCAGGCTGATGTTATAGGTCCGATAAACAAAGCTTATGCCCTTATTGTGTCAGACAGAGCCTCTAAGTTTGTTGCTCACAGGGTGCTTAAATCAAGAGCTGAAGTGTCAGCCAAGACCATTGAGTGTTTAGGAATGTTTCATAATTTCCTTAAACAAGCTGATTCAAACAAAAACATTGTCATGTTCCGTGCAGACAATGAGTTTGATACCAATACAATTAAGAACTGGTTGGATGGTAGCCCATCGAGTGGTAGAAATTTCATTGATTTCGAACCGACAGCCCCACATTCGTCTCATCAGAATGGTGGAGCTGAGCGATTGAATGGCATTTTACAAGAAAAAATGTTTTCTATTCTTAAGGCTTCGGGCGTAGACATTTCGTATTGGAACTTTGCCCTTAGCCATGCGGTGTTTGTCCACAATTATCTACCATTAAATGGCGGGAGGTCCCCCTATGAGTTGCTCAAAGAACAGAAAAAGGAATTCCAAGTCAAAGCTCCTTTTGGATGTCGTGTCTTTATCAAAGATTATCACAGACAAAGCAAGTTTGATCCTATCCAAGAAGAAGCTGGTGTGTTTTTGGGATATAGCAAAACAACTAAAATAGTTTTTGCACTCTTAAAAGATGGTAGAGTGGTTAGATCCAGTGCTTTCCGTTTTATGCCATTAGTCTATCCTTTGAAGAATGGTCAGGCCGCGCTCGGCGGTGCTGGTAGTGGTAGTGGTGGTGGCATGTTTGTTGGCGGAGGAGGTGGCCGCGTTGGCGGTGTTAGTGGTGCTTCAGGAGGTGTACATGTTCCTGATCGTGATATGTCAGTTGACTCTATTGCTGCTTTTGATGAAAACCTTGAAAATGTTACTCAAGATAGTTCATTTTCAGGGGGGGATGAGTCCTCTGTTGAAGAAGAAGACCAAGCTGAGCCTTTTGATGTTGATATGAGTGATGCTACTGCTTCAAAATCCGATGGTCAAACTACTCCTGAACAGGTTGGTGCTAAACAAGCTTCTCCAGATCCAGTCTTCCCAGACCCAATGCCTAGAAGTGAATCATCAGGCGATGATGGTAATGGGCTGTCCAGTGGTAACGATGCTGGTATCTCTTCAAGCTCTAATTATCCTTCCAACTATTATGGAAGTGAGGCAAGTGATACTGATGATAGCCAAGCTAAACGGTTTTCCACGTTTGGACACAAAATGTTCAACAATGCTCAAGATAGTGAAATTGAGAGGTTGTTTCCGTCTGCTACTACTGTAATGTCAATCACTGAGGTGTTGGTCAGACCAAACAATGTAACCCAAGTCATTGTTAAACCCGTCCCTAGTGATCTTCCAGTCAAATCTACTAGAGTTCCTGACGAGAAAACTAGAGGAACTAAACGGGTAGCTCACAGTGAAAGTGAGTCTGATACCACAACTGGTATGTTGTTAGAAAGCAAACCAGTAAAGAAGATGATTGCCGGTCCAGAGGGAAGGCTAGTTGTTAAAAAGCATCAAGCTGTGAAAGATCTTGTCCCATATGGTGGAGCCGGTAAAGGCGTTCAAAGAGTTGCTGATTATACTGTGCCTAGAGATAATCAGACAAACAAGTGGATGGAAAATGATCCAACTATTGTTTATCAAAAGAATCCTTCAGTGATGTTTAATGGCCGAATGTTGGTTGGACCAGAACCACGGCCACTAATAACAGATGGCAAAGATGTTGCTAGCACTTCAGAGGAAGTGGAACAGCCACTGTTACTAACTACAAAGGATGGTGAAATCTCCTTACTAGCTGAAGAAGTGTATCTTGCCGTTGAAAGAACCAAGTATGAAATCCCAAACAATTACAGCCAAGTTTTAGCTAGTGAGCAGAAAGTGAAATGGCTAATTGCTATTTTAAATGAGCTCACTGCCTTAAAAATCAACAAAGTATACGAAGAGGTTGATGTTGAAGTTTTGTAACCCTAGTTACAGTAGTCATTACCAATAACAAATACTATCAAATTATCCTTGTTATTATTCTTATTCTTCTTAACTAACTAACTATTTAAATAACAAAATATAAACTCAAACTATGGGGAGAGGCCCCATATTTATAATAAGACCAATATATATGATTTGTAATCATACATCCATCTAGAACATTCTAGATGATTAATCATATGCACAATGACTAATTATTAGGCTGAGTCATAATCACATGCAGATTATATATTGCTCAGCCATGGTAAATAAACCGTCTTATCCGAGACTCGAACCCAGGATCTATTCAACACATTGATACCCGTGTTAACCGTTGAGCCATCTGTACAAAACCCAATATATGACTTTGGATTGTCAACTCAACAGTTGATTATATCGAAGGCATGAAGACTGTAAATTCCAGATGGGTTTTCAGTGTTAAAGCCAAAGCCAGTGAAGAAGTATTCAAAGCTCGTTTGGTGTGTAAAGGTTTTTCACAAGAAAGGGGAGTGAACTACTTAGATTACTGGGCCCCGGTTGCTAGTTTCGACACTGTTAGATTTGTGTTGTCGATTGCTGCCGCAAAGAATTGGTCCATGGTACAGCTAGATGCAACAACTGCTTTCTTAAATGGTGATATTGACTACTCAATATATGTTAAGCCTCCAGCTGGAACTGAGACCCCAGCTGGTAAAGTGTGGAAACTCAGGAAGAGTTTGTATGGTCTCAAACAAAGTCCAGCCATCTGGTTCGATAAGTTGGCTGGCGTGCTAAAGTCTGCGGACTTGAAGGTGTCCAATATTGATCCATGTCTTTTCTATGACAAAGGGATCATGGTGTTGGTGTATGTTGATGATATGTTGGTGTTTGGTGAAAACGAGAAGAAGGTGAAGGAGATTAAGGAGGTATTGTGTTCAAAGTTCAAGATGAAAGAACTTGACGGAAAGATGTTCTTGGGTGTGACAATCCAGAGAGACGATGCTACTGGTACGATGAAAATCAGTATGAAAGATTTCATTGAGAAGGTTGAAAAGGAGTTGAACATCCAGAAATTAACTCCAATGAGAGCTCCTATGGTTAAAGGGTATAACCCACACGATGTTGCTAGTCCTTTCTTAGATGAGGAAGAACAATCAAAGTATAGAAGTCTCATTGGTACACTCCTCTATATTGTTAACACAGTAAGAGTTGATATTTGCTTTCCTGTTAACATGTTAAGTCAGTTCATGTCTGCCCCAAGAAAGACCCATCTTCACGCTGCTCAAAAGGTTTTCCAATACTTGATGTTCACTAAGGATCAAGGTGTTGTGTATGGGCCTAATGCTCCCCTTAATATTGAGTATCAAGACTTTAGGTTAATAGATAGAACCAAAGAGAATAAACCAGTTATAACCCAAGATTATCCTAAAGAGACGGGTTACCGTATCACTGCCATTAGTGATTCAGATTATGCCACTGATAAAGAGGATAGAAAGTCCCAGTGAGGTCATTGCGTCTTTATCAACAATCAATTGGTGTCCTGGAGCTCTCGCAAACAAAAGAGCGTCGCTTTGAGTACTGCTGAAGCTGAATATGTTGCTCTCTCAGAAGCTGCCAGATCCTCCATCTACTTTAGAAATCTCTTGAATGAAGTTGGTCTAAACTGTGCTTATGTCAATTTGGTTGGTGATAACTCAAGTTCCTTAACCCTCAGTGCCCATAAAGCAATTCACCAGAAGACCAAGCATATCGATATTAGAGCTCACTTTATCAGGTCATTGGTACATGATAAAGTGATTAAGTTGAATTGGATTTCAACAAAGCAGAACATTGCTGATTTCTTGACAAAGGCTGTTGATACCACTACGTTCAAAGCCTTGTCTAGCTATGTTCTTTACTAACCTATTTGAGCTTGAGGAGGTATGTTGAAATGTAGCTCTAAGTACAGTGCAAGCTCCAATAGTTTGATTTTGTCTATCACTTAACTTAAGGGTACTTTATGTGATTTTGTTCACTATGGTGGAGCAATGTTTTTCCGACAAGAAGAACGCCGGACACCTATGTACGATAATTACTGCTTCTGGTGAAAGTGCGCTCTGGTGACACTTTTCCGAGATCCTACAATCAAGGGGTCTGTAGGTCATATACTAGGAACCAGATCATTAGATCTCTACTAATAAATATTATAGTCGTTGCTATCAAGATTATATTTACAGCCATTATTGGTTTAAGGTTGCTAGGTGTCGTGCTGTTTGTCCTTACTACTGTCCTTACTACTGTCCTTATATTTAACTTTATTATCTAAAGTGTTTGTCATTATACGTGAGTGCGTTTGTTTCGTCTTTATATATTAAAGTACTTTGTAGACCTGTAGAATTCTAACAGTTTTGAGAAGGGGGAAGCTGAATGAGGTGAGGTAGTAATAGGGGTAGGAACAGAGGTAGGGACAGAAGCAGGGACAGAAGCAGGGACAGAAGATTTTTTTTTTTTTTTTTTTTAAAGACAAAATTCAATATATTAATTAATTATATAACTATATATCTCATAAACTACCTAATGTAGTTTGAAAATTAAAGTGTTAAGGGAAAACCATTAATGGTGAAAAACCCTATTATTGAGAAAAAATGTTTTTATGCGTTTTTAAGGTTTTTAATTTTTGTTGTTTTTTGTTTTTTTTTGATTTTATTTTCTTGTTTTTCCCCACCTATTTTTTCTTCTCCGCTTAAAAGATATTGCTTTCAAGCAAGAAGATCATTGAATCAACGGCCATGTGACAATTGAAATGCCTTTTGGATTTCAATCTTGATAATTTTCGTTGGAAACCTAGATATCTATCGATCGTTCTGGTTTCGTTCATGTTGGTGGCAGGGGTAATGATTGTTTGCCAGGTTAATGGGATATTCAAGTCAATTTTTTTCCAAAGTTTCTGGGCCAATGGACATTCAATAAGATGGTGCTTCATGATTTCAAATTGGATTTCCTTTGGGGCATATTGGGGTTCATCATATCTGGTTAATTTTTTGCTGCAATAGTCACAATGATTATTTACGTAATTGTGATTTTCAATGCCCAAATGAAAGATGTGAATATTTTGATATTTCCCCGGGAAATGTTGGTTGAATTTTTTGAGGTTATGCCAAAAGTTATCAACTTGTTTCTGATTCACCCCAGTAATATCCAAGAGTGTTTTTGACATCTTGTTCACATCTTGTTTTTCCCGTTGTTTTTTACTTCCTTTAGTATGGTCAAAATCCTTAATTCTAATTGGAATGTGTTGTTGATATTTTTCAGGAATCCCTTTTTCAATTGAATTTTTCAAATCTTCAATTCCAATCTTCATTGGCTTCAACCTGATTGTACGTTTCTTTATACCAAGAACTTTTCTGAAATCCCAGTACGCTGTCCTTTCAGCATCTGAGAATGTGCTGCTATTCATAACTTCTAAGGAAATTGAATCATTGGTATTCTCAATGTCATCCGCTAGTTCAAGTAATACCACCCACCAATAATGAGTTTTGATATAATCTTCCTTTGGTGATTTTGTTGGTGATGTTTTTTGAATGATGTTGTTGATACTTGATTGAATTTTGAAACGTAATATCTGGTTATATTTAGTGTGACTATCCAAAAACAAATCCTGGAAAATTTTGGCTCTTCGGTGTTGGAGTTGAGACTTTAAATCAATCATTGAGAAACCGCCTTTGTTGTTGTGTGTCTTGAGTGTATCCAAAGAAATAGGTGTATCTTGCTTGACCAATAACTTAATCGATGTGTCAATTTGATTCAACTGATTGGGTAACAAAGGTTGGTGTAGTTCTTTTGTAATAGAACTTGGATGCAATATATGTGTTGAATGCTTCTATTTTTGATTGAATCAGCAAGCTGGTCATGTTTGATAACTTGTACTTGATATAGAGGTCACGCTGCAATGTTTCCGGCCAAAATGTCACTGATGGCCCAATAGTTATCCCCAAATATGTCAATTGAAAGTTTTCATCAGCAATCTCAAATGGGAATGGTGTCAAAAATGGATGAGTATCAGTTGGTATGATTAGTTGGGATTTCTTTTCATTGAGTTTGCTGCCACTGAATTTTTCAAATAATCTAATACATTTCATTGTTTTGGAATAATCTCTTTTATCTTTGAGGAAAACTGTGATATCATCAGCAAAAACAAGATAATGTTGACTGCTATATGCTTCAGGTATCAAATCTCCTTGGTAACTATGGCCTCTGGTATTCTGTTTGATAGATCGTAGTAAAGGTTCTACTGCTAATGCAAATAATGAAGGGGAAAACGGATTACCTTGGAGGGTACCATTTTTTAAATTGAATAATGGGCCGGTCATGTTGTTGATGTATAAGGATCCCGTTGTCTGCTTGAGGATGTTGATGATTAACTTGGTTAATTTTTTTCCAAAATTTAAATGGGACAATAGTTGTTCCATATATTCGTGAGATATCCTATCGAACGCTTTCTCCAAATCCACAATTAGTATCAGCTTTTGTGGATTTGGTATTATATGCGTTTTATCTTTTGGATGAATTAGACTATCTAACATTTCTCTGAAAATGGTGATGTTGGAGAACGATGACCGGCCTGGAATAAAACCAGCTTGATCTTCCCCTATGATATCTTTTTTTAAATCAGGACTCAACTCAGCCATGATCCGATAATATAACAACAATGCGTCTCGGTTTCGTGGTCTAGTTGGTTATGGCATCTGCTTAACACGCAGAACGTCCCCAGTTCGATCCTGGGCGAAATCATTTTTTGATTTTTGAATCTCAAGCTGCTGGAAAGGTGTTTCAGTGATTTCATTTTTCATTCATACCAACCACCGGAAAATTTAATACAGTGTTTTCAATTTTTATTCGTACCAACCACCGGAAATGTTCATACCAGTGGCAAAAAATAATTAATACCGACCCCCGGTATTTTCCGTACCACCGCAGCGGGATTTATTCAGACCATCTAAGAAAAATAGTTCATACTATTGCACTTTAATTATTCATACCAA